ACCAGGACTCAGGACCATCCATTTCACAAAGAGCCCTGGGTCTTTCATGAGAGTCAGGGCTGGCCCCAGGTGACCCCTGCAGGGCAGTTGAGCTGAGGAGACTGAGAAAAAGGGACTCTTCCAGAGAGGGGGGGCCCTTGGTTGTTTCCTGTGTCAGAGTTTAGACCAGACCAGAGCCGGAAAGGGTGAGGCCCTGCCCCACCCAAATCTGCTTGTCTTTGCACCCCCCCAGTCATGGCCACCACCCTCTCCAGCACATCTTCAGACTCCTCCGCCCTTCCGTACACAAAGCAAGTTGCCAGCAGGAGTGCAGGGCTGTGCCTCTCTTGGATTTTGTGCTCTGGGAGGAGGACTGGCCTGTCTGCTCCTTGGGGCCCTAATTGCCCTCTGCATGTGGGGCCCGCCCAAACCCTGGCAGGCTTCTTCAGGGTTCCTCTTTCTCTGCCAATACTGACATGGGTACTCCCAAGGACTACAGGCTGTGTGAGCTGCAGCCACTGTCCCCTGCGGCTCAGCGTGCAAAGCAGAAATGGCATGCTAGTGAGCTTGCTTTTCACGAGAATGAGGCAGGCTGAAATCGTTGAACTCATTTCCTGGGCAGCCCTCGCCATGTGTCAGCCTGTGGCCTCCAACTCTGTGCCTAGTGAGATTCCTTGTCCTCAACTGCTCTCCAAGGAGCTTCCTAACACACAGCGTACCTCCCTAGGGGGCAAGCAGGAAGTACACCTGCATACAAGGCTCTTTGACATGCCATGCTTCTAGCTCCTGGACCCCTCCCTGCCCTTCTCAGCGGGAAAGCAAGCTCCAGTGTCAGTTCTACTAGTCATAGCTTGTGGCCCCTCCCATGAGCAACCCCAAATCCAGAGCATCATGTCAACTTGCTTCGATTATTGAGACTCTAAGGTGGAGTCCACTTCATTTTGGAGTTCCTAAGGAAACTCGAGTCAGACCCCACATGAGACCCAGGGAAGAAGCATAAGCAGGTACCGAGAGCAAAATGCAATATAGTTCCTGGTCCCCATGCCTTTGCCCATCTTTCTCAGGGGGGCATCACACTCTGCGCTTGTCCACTAGGGCGTGGTGAGAGCAAGTGGGTAGCTGGACTTCTGAAAGCTGGTTACTCTCTGAGTGGCCATTTTCTCCTGGAGATGCTATCATTTCAGCCTGTGTTGTCCAGGGATGTGTAGCCCTGTGCCCACTCCCGATGATGGGACCAGTGTACCTTCCTTGTTTCCCTCAGGTCTGTATGGATGAGAGAGGTTGCGAAGGAAGGAAAGGAACCCAGCACCTCCCCCATCGCCCCCCTCCACCTCACATCTACCTGAGCTGTAGGTTCTGCATGAAGTCCTCCATCGTCAGTTGGTCCAAAAGCACAAAGTCGGGTTTCCCATACTCAGGACCTTCCTCGTCCTCCATCCTGCCCACTGGAAGCACCCAGGTCAGGGCGCCAGAGCGTACTAAACAGAGAGGTGAAGGGGAAGACAGAAGGGGTGGCCCAGCCCTGCCTAACTCCTGCAGTGCTGTGGTAAAGTAGGAAGTGGGTTCTGCCGGGGGAGTTTGGCCCTGCCCACTTGCTACTCCCTTGCCTGGGTGCTTCAAGCGCTGTTTCCTGCTCCCTGGTCCGCAAAGCCTGTGCTTAACGGTCTGGTCCACTGTTCTGATGGGATCTGTATTGGCCTCCACAAAGTTCTTTCCAAGCTAGGCATGGTGGTAGATGTTTGTCATGCCAAGCACTCCAAAGAATAAGGGCAGGCTGGGGATGTAGCTCGGTTGGTACGGTGCTTGCCCAACATCCACGAAGACCTGGATTCAGTCCTCAGCACCCTATAAAAACTGGGTACGGTAGCACATGTCTGCAGTCACAGCACTTGGAGAAGGACGAGAAACTGACAGTTGTGCTTTATTACATAGCAAATTTGAGACCAATCTGGGTTATATGACACCTTGTATCAGGAGGGATTGGGGGAAGGGTACAGGCTGTGGTGGCCCACGCCTTTAGTTCGAGCACTCAGGAGAGCAGAGGCAGGCAGATCTCTGTCTGAGTTTGAAGCCAGCTTGGTCTACAGAGTGAGCTCCAGGACAGCCAGGGCTACACAGAGAAACCCTGTCTCCGAAAGGCCAACATAGTCTACATAATGAGTTGAAGGCCTGATATAGCAAGACCCTGTCTCAAAACAACAGGAGTTCCTGCTCTCCACAAGATTTCTAAGGACTGATTTCCAACCTTGGCTGCAGATAATCTGCTAGCCCATTAGAAATTCCCTGCCCTTTGCCTCTCCCTCTCTTCTTTTTTTTTCCTCTAACTCTGCAGCCCAAGCAGGCCTCCTGCCTCGGCTCCCCAATGTGGCTAGGGTTGTACCAGGCCCAGCAAAATGGATGATTCTTTTCATTTTTTAAAAACATATATTGTATGTGTGTAAATGCTTTGTCTGCGTGTGTATGAGCGCACTGTGCGCATGCCTGGTGTCTGCAAGGGCTGGAGAGGTGGACAGTTGTAAGCTGCAGTCCTCTGGACTAGCAGTCAGTGCTCTAACTTCTGAGCCATCTCTCCAGCCCCACACGTTTCTTGGCATGGTCATGGTTACCCAGCTGCATGTCTGCCGCTCACGAGCTTAACATTAGCCACAGGTGGTGGCCACAGTAGAGTTTAAACCAAAAGAAGGCTTCCTGCCTGACCCTGCAAAAGAGCCAGGTGGAGGCCTCGAACCCTACAGTTCTTCACCGGGGTCAAGGGAGGGGTAGAGTACACTCTGCAGCCTTCCAGGGAGCTAGCCTTCTGTAGGCTTGCACACACTCAGCTTTGTTCTTTCATCCAGCCTCTGAGATAAGACCTCTGGGCCCCATCTCAGCTCTCGCAGTCCCAGCCCATGGTTGAGCTTGTAGATGAGTGGACCATTCAGAAATGGCTAGCTGACCGCTCAGGTCTCTCTGTGCAGTCCTCCTGTTCTCTGAGCTGCCTCCTGGAGGGAGCTCTCTTTGCTCCCTTCTCTTAGGCGGGGAGAAGGCAGGATGGCAGGGCCCCACGTTCCCAAATCTGAGTTATTTGCGGGCCAACCTTCAGTGGCCTTGTATTCACAAATACCTAACAATTGTATTTTGTTTTGTTTTAGGCTTGTTTTTTGAGACAGTCTCACTCTGATGCTCTGGCTGTCCTAGAACTAGCTCTGTAGTACAGAGTGGCCTTGCCTCATAAAGATCTGCTGCCTTTGCCCCCTGAGTGCTGGGATTAAAGGTGTTCACTGCTAATGCCCAGCTGACAATTGTATTTCAATTTAATTTGATTTCTAAAAGTTATTTGATAATGCAATCTACCTAATGAAATCGCTAAGTCCTCGTCCACTGTGTGTTAAAAGTACCATTCATTAGTGGTAAAGATGAGCCACTGGCCAAAAATGTCCCAGCTTCAAGAGTGGTCTTCTACAAGCCTGGCTGGGGGGCACTCCATCCCCAGCCTACTGGGGTGGTGCTTTGGTAGGGTTTCCCCAACCTGAGGACTCTCACTCTTGGGTTTCACTTCCCAAAGCCCCAGGCCTTAAAGAGACCTGGGACTTGTGCTGATTCAAACAAGAACGGACATGGTTGAGTTCCAGTAAAATCTGAGACATAGAACTGTGTAATTGCCAAGTTACACCTGCCATGACATAGTGTATTTGGGGGTTTTCTTCTCCTAACCACTTAAAAATCCCAAGATCATTCTTCAGCCACAGATTGACCCGTGGGTGTAGCATCAGACTCTGGTTGTTTCCACACTATCGACACATGACTGAGCCTCTCCCACCCTGTCGGTTTGCACAACTACGCATTGACTCCCATGATTCACACAGGAGTTACTCTCATTTTACACTATTGAAGCCAAGGAGATGACATCACCGTTCAGTTCTTTCCTGGATTGAACCAAGTGTGGGCCCTTTAAGCACCAAATCCAGAGGCTCCAGTTGTTTTAAGAGAATGGCTGGTCACTCTTGGACAAGTGGCAGTCACTTGAAACTTCATGGCATGAACATAGAATCAAACTAGCACAGCACAGCAAACATTTGGAGGACAATAGGGTGGGGTCATCACCCACTCCCCTAGGGACTGTCATCTAGTTCAGTGGAAAACTGGCCATCTACGATGCATGTCCCAGCATGAAGCCTCTCTTGTCAGCATCCACCAGTCAGGTCTTTGCAGGGATCTTGCCCAAGTACCTGTTTCCCCTATAAAACTGAACCACAGCCCCCTTCTAAGTATATTTGAGTGCTTGGCCTTCATGCACAGAAGAGGGGATCAGATCCCATCACAGATGGTTGTGAGCCACCACGTGGCTACTGGGAACTGAACACACAACCTCTGAAAGAGCAGTCAGTGTTCCTAACCAGACTTAACTCTCCAGCCCGTAGACCACAACTTTTTAACTATTTTTCCAGTTTGTGTGTGTGTGCGTGCTGGGGGCAGGGGTACTGAGTCTCTTCTGTTTGAGCAGTTCTGAACTGTGCCCAACAGGGCTGTGCGGTGTCATCTGAGCTCTGTTCCATCCACTATGTCAGTACCCTCAATGGGACAATTTGACCAGGCCTTGCCCACTACATTTCCTGACAATGCCTGTGAGCTAGCCTTGTGGGCACACCGGTAAGACAGACTATACTTTCAGGATGAATATTTGACATTCAGATAACTACTGGTATATGAAGAGTATGAGGTATGGGTTTTAGAAACACTTAAACACTGAACTCTTTCTAGCCTTCACACATTGAAAAAACCCAAAGCTTTCTGCACCTCATCTTGCCCACTTAGCCCTGAGGTGACCACCACTCCAGCATCTGTCCACTCAACCAAGTACAATTCCAAACGGCCATTCAAAGTATATCCAGGCATAAGGTGGCACATGCAATTTTGCAAGCACTTGACTATGGAAAAATGGCAGGGCACCTTGGTTCACTTTGGCTGAGTTTGCCACCAGAGTCAGTTCTTTTTTAAAGTACATAGAACCTGGAAAGAAAACACACTAAGACAAATTATGGATAGAACTGTATTTATTTTGAGACTGGACAGCTTGTAGCCCAGGCAGGTCTTGAATTCTTGATCTTCTTTCTTGCCTCTACTTCCAAAGTATTTGGTTAGCAGGTATGCTTCCCTCTAGCTAGCTGAGACATCCATGGTTTATTATATTCAGGGGTCAAAAAAACCTCAGGCACAGCCGAGTTCCTTTGTCTGGGAGGAGGACGCCTACCAGACACACCGCATCGGTCCTGAGATGCACAGCAGCTTGGACCAAGAACCAGAAACTGCTGATTCACTTTAGGTGGGAGGTGAAAGAGCAGGCTTCAAACCTGATTCTGTTTTTCGACATGGCTGGAGTCTCACTTCCTCATCTGCAGATTAGAAACATCAAGTTATGCTGTTAAAATAAGGTAACACCACAAGACTAAAGGCTATTATAAATGCCCACTGCTTTGTGGGGCCAATAACAAAGCCAAGTTTCTGACTTCTGGATGCACCCCCAGTTAGCCAATAGGCCTGTGGGCCACATTTGGCAGCAGCCCACACCCATACTAGACATATCATGACCTCATAAGCTGAGGCAAGAATCAGGGCCCAAACACTAGATGTTTCAAAATAGTTCCATACATTTCAACACTGCTAAACTTCCTGATTCAATCATATGGCTTATAACATGGAAAGGTCACAGGTTTCTTGTTTTTTTTTTGGGGGGGGGGGGCGCGTTAATAGACAGGGTTTCTCTATGTAACCTTGGTTGTCCTGGACTCTGTAGACCAGGCTGGTCTCCAACTCAGAGCTCTGCCTGCCTCTGGAGCACTGGGTATGTGCCACTGCGCCCAGCTACTTGTTACATGATTTCTCTTGCTTAGCCAGATGACTAACTGATTCCAACAGAAGTGAATCCCGGGCTTCTTGGAAGAGATTCACAACTCAAAACTCTAGGAAGTTGGACGCATGAGATCACGAGTTCAAAGCCATCCTTGGCTACACAGCAACTTTGAGGCAAGCCTAACTCACTAGAGTCACTACCTCAAAACAGAAACAAAAACCCACAAGTACCTTCTCGCGTCCCACAGAAGTTCCATGAAATAGGCTGAAAAGGGCACCCTGAAGGTCTCTTCTAGCTTGGGCATCTTGGCTTGCCTAGACTGAAGGAAATAGTCAGTGAGCCATGTGCCTAACACTAAGCTGGCAACTCCACAGCTGCCACAGTGACAACAGGACATTTCCCTTCACCCATGCTTCCCATCCTGTCTAGATTCTGCCAGACACCCAGAAAACAGGGCAGGCTGCAGGGCTAGAGATGCTTATCACACTTCAACTTGACACTTCCTGCTAGTAAACCCCTATGCATACAACCACCTCACTTGGCAATGAAAGCACCGTCACCGCCAAACCTACTACTACGTGAGCTTGACCTTCAGGACCCACTCCTGTGAGTTGCTTTCTGACCTCCGTGTGCTGTGCCATCCATGAGCCCACACACAGACATGCACACAAACGAAATAGGATTAAAGACTTGAAATGAGCGCCTAGTATGGTGACATACACCTTTTGTCCCAGCATTTGGGAGGCAGTGGCGGGCAGATCTGTGTTCAAAGCCATCCAGGGCCCACAGTTAGACCCCTGACACGAAAAAACAAAAACAAAAAAACTAAACACACACACGCGCACACACACGCACACAGAAAATTCGATGACTTACTTATTCACCTCTACATCCTGGGCAAATCTTTTCCACCACAGCAAATTACAAACAAGGAAGTGCAGCACTGTAAATCCCATTCTCTCCACGTGTAGTGTACCCACGTGGCAGGCCCTCGGCCATGTTGTCTGAAATTTCTATAACCTTGCTCTGGAGGGGGCAGGGCAAGGCCTCAAACCACTTCAAAATTGTTCTGGCAAGCACTGTAGGAATGCACAGGGTCACCGCAGACCCAAGCACGCTGGAGGCTTGCTAGGGGCATCACTCAAATCCCACACAACCCACACTGAAATTGAATTAAAGTTACGGAGTTGGGCTCCAGAGGCACCAGATAACCTCTGTACTGGCTGAGAAAGTAAGGAAACCCTTCTGGAAGAGGCCATCTTATTTAAAGCTGACAATAATTTTAGAATAGTGTTCCTTAAACTCTCACGACAACAGAAATAATCTACATAACATACATACCTAAACAACAAAAACAATGGCCTTTCTTCCTTATTCTTCTCAAGATGCATTTTCGAGGCTGGAGAACAATTCTGAGATAGATGTGGACTGCCGTCTATTAGGTCGGCTGTACCCATATTAGGTAAATCGATAATGGTTCAGGGAAATGAGGGTCCCGTTCCAGACAGGCAGAGGCCGGCTTTCACAACTGCCTTTACCGGGACGTCTTCCAGAAGAGCTCGGTGAGCCCTTCCACGCCGTGGGGCCATCCACCTGGCCTCGATTGCCACCTAGAAAGGGGGACAAAGCACACTCAGCCCCAGCCCGTGCCCACCACTCGGTTCTAGCCCCTCCGTGCTTCGGCAGGCCAAAGTCAGCCCGTGACACGTGTCTCCCCGGGGGAGAGCGCCCCTGCTCCATTGCAGCCTGACCTTTCTCCCGCCACCAGGCTTCGCGGTCCCTACCTGGCCTCGGGAAAGCCCGGCACGGCTCCCGGTTCCTGATGGCGGTCGATGAGGAAACGGTGAGCGCCGCAGCACACACGCCGGAGGATCCCCCACCCATGGCTGCCAGCTG